AACAAATAATAAATAAAATTGTATAATTAAATCCATAGTTATAAAAAATATATATTTCTTGCTTCTGTCTGCTTACTTGCATAATAAAAAGAAACTTATAGGGCCTCTAAACTACACAAAATCCTTGCGCAACCCGAGACTTGTACAAGCCAATATTGTGGAATTTATTACAGCATAAAACTGCGCAGACNTAGGGCCTCTAAACTACACAAAATCCTTGCGCAACCCGAGACTTGTACAAGCCAATATTGTGGAATTTATTACAGCATAAAACTGCGCAGACCTTATTTTGAAGAAACGTTGTTCAAGTAAATATGTGCAAGAAATATGAATGTTCTTTGTATATATTGATAGCTTCATCTTTAAAAAGTAAAAAAAAACTAAATAAAAAAAAATATATTTTTTTTACGCTTTTACCTATATTTTACAGCACGATCTGGACCCCAAAATCAAAACTACACTAAAAATTTCGCAGTGGTCGCCGTACGAAGCACAAATTATTGTACATTAGCACAAGCATGAGCAAAATATCAAAATAATTATTATTATAGCGCAATAACTGTGCAATTTAGTGCAAACGACCCCATGCACCACACAAACGCTCGTCGCAAGCCCGATATTTCGTAATGTTTTTGTGTGGTTTAGGGGCCCTATAACATTGGCGTGTGCAAAAAATTCCGGGTTGTGTTTCCCTTATAAGAGTTACCAAATCAACTTATAAATATCTATATATAAATTGTGAGACTTCAAATAACAAGAAAACAAATATTTGCCTTTAGGCTAGTAGTACTATTCATAGTTTTCGAAAATTCATTTCTGCCAGCCAAAAGTATCAAAATACGGGATTTGGGAACAAAAAAGTATCAGATATTAAAATTTAGAAAAACAGTATTAAAAAATATACAATTGTACCAAAACGGCAACGCTGATCATGATGCAAAACGTAGTTAACATCTTGTCGTCATAGCGACGATGGAATTAACATCGTCAGCCGAGTGCTAAAGTCGTTCCCACGACAGTCGGGTCTACGTAACCGGAACGACCCAGATTTATATCTGGCCAAGGACTGTCACTCCAGCAACACTCCCCAAAATCTCTGGGGAATTTGTATGCTGTTCCAACAACAACAACANAAATATTGAACGTGTAGCACTTTCAAAACGCGATCCATACATTTCGTCAGTACATCTTTTACTCTCATAATGCGAACATCGGCTCTGCCTTCGCTCTCGGGGCTTAAAATCTTGCATAACAAATTTTAATTAACATTGGAAATTTTAAAATAATTGTGGAATGCATTATCTGTAAATTATACGTACAAAATAAAAATATTTTCTTGCGTCATAATAAGCTTTCAGCACAAAAATTATGCAAATACTGACGCGATAAATATTGAACATGTAGGATTCGTGCGCGATCCATCAATCCATCAATATGGACCGCGATCCAAATATCGTGATAATTACTGACGGTGTGACAGAGCCCTTTTGTTAACGAAATATATAAAATAAAAGTGAATAAATCATTTGGTTTGCATAAAATAATAAGCGGAGACGTTTTAATAGTGTTTTAAAAGTGGAAACTGGTGATTTAGTGCATTTTTGACGTGGTAATTGCTCATAGAAAACAACGGAATTTAACAAAAGTTTTTTGTTTATAACTTTTAAATGGTTAATAATATTAGCCCTCCCCCTCCACATTGTTAATAGGGGGGGACGAAACGCGTCGTTTGGTACCCCGCCCGACTTTTCCGGATCTTTTTTAGGGGTTGTTACCCTATACTAGAGAATTACCATTTTTTTATTTGATTGTTGAAAAAGTTGTGATCGCGGTAGATCGGGCTATTCTACACTTTGAAGATAATAGCAAAAACAACGTACTTCAAGGGGGTTGTTACTCTATACTAGAGAGTTACCAAAAATATTCTTGTATATATTTTTTTTAAGACGGTTTTTAGAATATTAGAATTAGATATATTAATTTGTGTTAAAATTGTAAACGTACTGACTTAGATTATTTAAGATACCGTCAGCACGCTCTCTATATCGCAAAAAATAACTAAGTGCTTTAACCACTTTTCTACAATCAAATTTCGGAAGCACAATTTTAAGGCCAAAGAAAGAGAAAAGCAGCACAAACTCAGTATATTCAGTAAAAAATAACTGTGGTGAAGTCCTTTATGGGGATAAAGTTTCCAGAGGTGAAATTTTAGGTACCGCACAATTTCTTACACGCACGGGTGCTATTCAGCACTAATGAAATAAACTTTAGAATTTATTAGAACAAGTACATACATTTTCGTTTAGTGCATCAATTTTAATAAAAACACAAATATATGTCAGGTATTCAGAACGGTGTCGTAATTGTCGTATTGTTGTATGTCGTAAACTTTAAACGCCTAAAAATATATATTAAAGGGGTTCGCAAAGTACCATTAAAGTCATATTATGAATTTTTGTAGTACTAAAAAATAGTTGGTTAACGTTTCAAGTTCTCTAAACATTTATTTAAGCTTTTAAAGTTTACGACATACAACAATGCTACACTTACGACACCGTTGTGAACCCCTCAATGGGTTAAATTTAATTAATAAATATGAAAGAAATTTTAAAGCCAGCGTTTGATGATACATTTGTTACAAAATACCATTATCGGAATGCTCTGAGCGCTGCCCCTGAAAAGTTGCTTTTCGTACAAAAACACCCCTGGCCCTTGTTGTTGCGTGTCGTGTTGAATTTACATTTCCAAGTAATTTGCTTGTGTCAAAAGGTAAACAAAGAAAGTAATTTATTTCCCATATTTATCAATATGTTTGATGTAAATTTATTTATTTTAGGTACATAGCAAGGTGAGAGTTTCGTGAAGATTTGAGCACTCGGCATTAGGGTACGGCTGCCAGACGTCCTTGTTTTCTAGGATTTGTCCTATTTAGACAAATTGTCCTGGTGTCCTGGTCCACATTTAAATTGTCCTGGTTTTTAATGAAGTTAGGCTCTCTGTCAAACTGATAACGAAACGTTTTTTCTAACATGTTGAATATCTGGTGAGTTGACCTTCTTTCTGTTTAGTTTATTTGGTTAAAATCTCATTTTTTTCAGGAAAATGCCAAAAAAGTGCATGTTCCCGATCAGGTACACGGCTGAGGGGTCATCCATAATTACAACCCAGAAGGTAATTTCAGGAGCTAAAATCTCATCAAAAAGGCCTTTCTTTCCTTTCTCCTTCATTTTTGTATGGAGTGGCAAAAATTGAAGGTGTAGGATGCCTTCTTAAGAAGTTCTTTTAACGTTTTTCTCAATTCATAAAAATCATACTTCTTTAAGGAATTTTTTCATGGTTCATCTCCAAGAGTTTTATTTAGATTTAAAATGCCTATTGCATCTTATGATGATTTCGTTTCTTCCAAAAAAATTTTCCCTTCCCCGGGGCAAAATGTGTACACTCAACCCTGCAAAAAGGCATATTATTATTACAACGCTTTTATCAACTTGCAATGTTGTGGCTCCAGAAACTTTCAATGTTGTGGGTCCAGAAACTTTCAATCTAATTCAATCTTCTTATAAAAAAGCAGCGTTGGGCAGAGAGAGCTTTTACTCTGCTCGCGCCAATACAAAATGTATAGAAAGCTTAAAAGAGCTTTGCCCGCGGGCAAGGCAGTGCCTATTAAGCTCGTCGGCGATTTCAAGCATCCGTTGTTGGTTACCCCAGCAACCGAGGCAATCGGAGATCGTCGTGTCACACGTACTTGTTGTCGGCTCGTGTTGATGGAAAATCAAAAATTTTCGATTTTCCATCAACGCGACCGCTTGACAAGCGGTCTGTTTGATAGTGGCGCAAAGCGTTGACAAGCATTAGTGTGTTAGTTTGTTGTGATATGTAAAATGAGCAAGTTCGCGGAAGATAAAGATTTTACTTTGCACGTTTTGTATATAAACTTTTCATCCACAACTTTTTCTTTTTAGTCTTTCTTTTTATCTAATAAAACTACTGCAGTGGCAAGTAGCAAAAAATCGTCATCCGATGAAGACATGTTTACGTCCGCCCACTACGAAATTTTATTGCAAATGGTGTTGACGCTTTATGCTTGAGTGTCGCCGGGCAAGCTTCAAGCACCCGACATTCAACCCGACACTCACACATGTACTCGTTGCTGGGGTAACCAACAACGGATGCTTGAAATCGCCGACGAGCTTTAGTGCTATAAATGAAATTAATTGGTGCTCGTATATATGTAACGGGTGATTTTTTTGAGGTTAGGATTTTCATGCATTAGTATTTGACAGATCACGTGGGATTTCAGACATGGTGTCAAAGAGAAAGATGCTCAGTATGCTTTGACATTTCATCATGAATAGACTTACTAACGAGCAACGCTTGCAAATCATTGAATTTTATTACCAAAATCAGTGTTCGGTTCGAAATGTGTTTCGCGCTTTACGTCCGATTTATGGTCTACATAATCGACCAAGTGAGCAAACAATTAATGCGATTGTGACCAAGTTTCGCACTCAGTTTACTTTATTGGACATTAAACCAACCACACGAATGCGTACAGTGCGTACAGAAGAGAATATTGCGTCTGTTTCTGAGAGTGTTGCTGAAGACCGTGAAATGTCGATTCGTCGCCGTTCGCAGCAATTGGGTTTGTGTTATTCGACCACATGGAAGATTTTACGCAAAGATCTTGGTGTAAAACCGTATAAAATACAGCTCGTGCAAGAACTGAAGCCGAACGATCTGCCACAACGTCGAATTTTCAGTGAATGGGCCCTAGAAAAGTTGGCAGAAAATCCGCTTTTTTATCGACAAATTTTGTTCAGCGATGAGGCTCATTTCTGGTTGAATGGCTTCGTAAATAAGCAAAATTGCCGCATTTGGAGTGAAGAGCAACCAGAAGCCGTTCAAGAACTGCCCATGCATCCCGAAAAATGCACTGTTTGGTGTGGTTTGTACGCTGGTGGAATCATTGGACCGTATTTTTTCAAAGATGCTGTTGGACGCAACGTTACGGTGAATGGCGATCGCTATCGTTCGATGCTAACAAACTTTTTGTTGCCAAAAATGGAAGAACTGAACTTGGTTGACATGTGGTTTCAACAAGATGGCGCTACATGCCACACAGCTCGCGATTCTATGGCCATTTTGAGGGAAAACTTCGGAGAACAATTCATCTCAAGAAATGGACCGGTAAGTTGGCCACCAAGATCATGCGATTTGACGCCTTTAGACTATTTTTTGTGGGGCTACGTCAAGTCTAAAGTCTACAGAAATAAGCCAGCAACTATTCCAGCTTTGGAAGACAACATTTCCGAAGAAATTCGGGCTATTCCGGCCGAAATGCTCGAAAAAGTTGCCCAAAATTGGACTTTCCGAATGGACCACCTAAGACGCAGCCGCGGTCAACATTTAAATGAAATTATCTTCAAAAAGTAAATGTCATGGACCAATCTAACGTTTCAAATAAAGAACCGATGAGATTTTGCAAATTTTATGCGTTTTTTTTTAAAAAAAAAGTTATCAAGCTCTTAAAAAATCACCCGTTACATACATATGTATATGCATGTGTGTGCACCAATCTATTAATATCGTTGAATTATTTTAATATCTATTGCAAAATTTTATACAGACAAGACTAATAACTTGAAAATAAATAAAATATAAAGCTTTTTAATATGCGTCGTTTTATAAATGGACTAAAAAAGTGCGGCAACCATCCGTCCTTCATTTTAAAGGACAGTCCTTTACTTTAACCCCCTGTCCTTTATAATTTTTTTCAAAATAAAGGACGTATTTTGTGCTTTATTTCTTAAACTGTCCTTTAAATCGGCTCTGCATTTTTCAGAGGTAAATTTTTAAACGCAGAATATGAAAAGTAAAAATGTCCCTTATAAAATATAATGAAAACTTTAGCCAATTTGTTTCGCACCCCACTTAAGGGTTTCTATTTAATCAGTAATCTTTGTACAATCTATAAAGCACAGGGAAAGTTGCGCCTAGGATCGTGTTGTACGCTGAGTTTCCAGTTCCACTGAAAGGGAACAATAAACCCCCTGCTGCACAATGGCTCAAAACTGGCATTCATTCACTTCATTTTTCACTTAATTTGTTCATTATTTCTTTTATGGAAGCTTACAATATTTGCAAGAGACAAGTTAAGCCTGATTTCTGAATTTTAATTTTATTCTATACAATTTTTTTAGTGCAAAATGCAGAAAAAGTAGCAATTTTGACGAAAATGTATTCTCTTGTTCCAGTTAATAAAGGTTACATAACAAAAACTAGTTGAAAACAAATGTATGGTTTTCTCAAAAAAAAAAAATACTCAAAAAAAAAATTTGAAATGTTATAAAAAAAAAACACACAAATAAATATATATATTTTTTGGTTTTTAGTAAAAACTTTTTGAAAAATGAACGCTCCGATGGATTATGAACATTACATTCCACTTTTCAACCACTGTGTGGCTTCGTCGGGCAGTATGAATTATGGTAACGCATTTTGGTAGCAAAGGATGGCGAAGTCCTTGAAAAGCATTTGGAATCATTTTTCGTTACAGCAGGGGAACTTATACAACTAAACAACTTAATTAACTCGCAAATATTTGATTTAAATTACAATATGGGCAAGGTACTTTTATCATACAAGTTGTATGTACGTATTCCCAAAACATTTTGAAAAAAATGTCCTTTATTTTACGTTGGTTAATATGGTCACTGTACTAAAAAGTAACCTTTGATTTTGAAATTTTAGCAAAAGTCATTCTAAACAATTTATGAGATTGAAATTGAAAAGCGTGGGGTGCATGCGTGTATGTAATACTCCTATATTGGCAATAAGAGCTAGTACCGTCCGAAAACATTGCAGTACAGATATATCAATAAAACCGTACAAAAGAAAAGGAACAGATACGTTTATAAATAAACTCCCAGTAGAAATCTTAAGCATACAACATCGCTGTTGGTGGCATGAGCTCGCTGCTGTGTATACATGCCAGTATAAATGAACCTTCATTTCCATTTAACACGCGTGGTTTCTCAGAGCGTATGCGTACTCTAACCATACACTTGTACTACTGCTGTATGCATATGGCTGTATTAATCTTTCAAACATACAAAAATGCATTAATGGAACAGTATTAAAGCGTTCTTACAAGATATGTATCCCTATATGTAAATGCCACTTTTCTGATACATTCCGAGTAGAAATCTTATGCATACAACATCGCTGTTGGTGGCATGAGCTTGCTGCTGTGTATACATGCCAGTATTTGATACTTTTTCTGCTTGGCAACTGATACATTTTTTTCAAGATCGCGGCAACGCTGATCACGATGTGTGTTTATGGCGAGATGTTAACTTCATGTTGTTCATAGTGGACGTGATGTTAACTCCTCTGCTCTGTTCCGGGTCGCCATGTTATTCATAGTGGTCGTAATGTTTACTTCTCTGCTCTGGCCCGGGTTGTAATATTACGTCCGCCGAAGAAAAATAAATTTGTATGTGGTGCGTCTTCTATATACTGTTTATTCTGTGGTAATATATCAAGCAACATTGATGGGCCTTTAACAAGTACTGCTAAAAGTCGTATAAGCAACCTAGAAATAATTTTAGATTCCTCCAGCGAAAGCAAAGGCTCAGATGTAAAATCTGAAGACATTAAAAAATGTGAAATAAAAACTCAATTGAAGGCCTATCTTAAAGAAAAACGGGCTCATCTCGGTGAAAATCCTCTCGATTGGTGGAAAACTAAAGAAAAATGCGAAAAAACAGATCTGGGCCGCAAATATTTGAGCGCTTCACCCGCCGTTCCAAGTAAGCAATTTTTTAGTTCAGTCGGTCTTATATACGAGCCTCTAAGATAGGGATGCCCAAATCAGCACATATGTGTCCCGGGCGACTGCGCGTGCAAAGCTTTGCACAGCGGTGATGGCAAGCGCGCAAGCAAAAAGTTATCGGAAGGGGAAAACGAAGTCAACAGAATAGTGAGATTGTATGTGTGACAGTGATGGAAAATGAGTGTGCATTGTGCCATTTTCGGCCTTTTCGGAAGCAGCCGGCACCTACAGCACTATCGATTGGTTTTCGGCACTATTTTTGCGAAACTCAATGCAACTAATAAATATTGCTTTCAGATCCGCAATTAAAAATATTCTTTTTACATTTAATCGTATG